CAAATACGTATCGTAGTACACACTTGTTACCACGATTACAATGATGATCTGATCCGAATAAGGTTTGATTGGATGTGATTATCCAAAATTAGATATCACGCATAGCCGTACACGCTATTCTATAGAAGACCCAATATAATGTATATATATATACATTCTATCATAATAAGTAATAAAGAGATAAAAAAAATAAAAATAAAAATGCTTTAAGTAATTCATTCTTATCATATTTTAATATATACAAACCAAAAAATTTAGTTTTTGAATTTGTAAAAAGTTTTTGATATAAATTTGTAATTGCTAAACTTGGTATTAATTCAATTTTGCTATATTTACTGCCCAATTAACTTCTATATCCTAGCTTTATTTTATTAAGTTCATGCCCTTCTGTAATATGCATATAGAAGTATCTACATTATTATTTTATTCAAAAACAGTTTGCTAGCCAACTCTAATAAAAAATAAAAAATACTCTCTTCTACTAAACTGTTATTTCTTATCATTTACCAGTTACGTAAATTAGCACTATAATGCAAACTAGATACTATTTGGTTAAGAAAAATTGGTTTTATGCTTAAATAAGGCCTTTGACATACTTGGTAAATTTAAATAAAGTTTTTTTTTTTTTTTTTTTTATAAATTCAGCAGTCTTGCCAATACCGTTTATTAGTACGCTAAGATATTTGGTTACAAATATCACATGTACAATTACAACACTCTAATTTATTATAAGATATTGGCTCACTCGGTTACTAACTTAGTACTTATGTACAACCTGCTATATGAGATTTTACTTCCTTAATAACCACCCTGCAACTAGACCAATTACTAAATCACCGGATGATTCCCAAACCTATTTTTATCATATATATCCCGCTTATATACTACTGTACAACGTCCACCAACCAACTTCTATCTCTCATCACTTATTGTATTACTCCTAATTTGATACTTGTATTACTTCCAAATTGGTGTTCTTCGAGTGGGCACTCTTCGTGTTTCTAGTTTGGTGTCCCTAGAGGAGTTACTTTATAGGTCTAGCCGTATCTTAAACAGTTAAGTTGCCAAACTAGGATAATATTTCATGTTGATCCAGGTATTCGTGTCGTATACCACCAAATTAGGCTACTGATCCTTTTATAGTACTCCAATTTAAATAAAGTTCTGGGCAAAAATTCTAGACATATATATGTTTTTTATATATTAATAATCTTGAATAATTATCATAAAATTTAAGTTGTAGATTTTTTTATTTTTTTTTGTTATCAACAGGTCTGGCTATAACTTAACTTTTTTTATTAATATTTATATAAAACAAATATACTAAAATTTGAATTAGAAACCTGACTCCATTTTATAATTTTGTGATATGAAACCAAATACTAAAACTAAAAATAGCCTGTTTTATCAAATTCTAGAGAACTAGAATTATCCCAACAAAGATCTATAAAAATATAAAAATGAGCTATGACTAAAAAGAGAATATGAAAAAGAAAAAAAGAAAAATTAAACAATATAAAAAAACTAAAAAAAAGGAAAAATTAAAAAATTAAAAAAATAAAAAAAATATTTTATAGAAGAAAAATAAGAGTTTGAGAGGGATTTTACCTCTCTATATAACTGAAGTGCACTATTACCATAGGTTTCCGAAAATAAGCTATCTCCAAAAATAAGCTACCCCTTTTTTCTTGGAGAAGAAATATAAGAAAAATCTTTATTTCAAAAATAAGCTACTTCTGATAATTTTTTAAAATCTGGAAGTAGTTTCTATTATAAAAGTCAAAATTCTATTAAGTAAATCGATGAAAGTCACTTAATAAGAGTTGTTCAGGACATAAAAATACATATATCCTGAAAGTTTGAAGCAAATCAGAGAACTTTTTACTAAAATGTTTTTGCATTTTATATTCAAACATAAAATGCAAAAATATCTTAGTAAAAAGTTTTCTGATTTGCTTCAAACTTTCAAAATATGTGTATTTTTACGTCCTGAACAACTCTTATTAAGTGACTTTCATTGATTTATTTAATAAAATTTTGACTTTTATATATAGAAACTACTTTCAAATTTTAAAAAAATAATAAAAATTAATCTTTTTAAAATTTTATCAGAAAATAAGCTACCCCATAATTTTAGTGTAACTTTTTGCCAAAAAAGAGTAGCTTATTTTGGAAACCTACGGTATAACTTGTGCAAGACTAAAAAATTATATAACAAATACAATACTGTATATCTCTACTATAAAGCTTTGCTTTAGAATATAATATTTTTTCTGATTTATGATCACTTTCAGATATCTCTTTAACTAAAGGTTCTAATTTGACTTCACTGGAGTAACATCATATTTATAAATAAACATGTCATGTGGTTGCATTCTACTGATTCTATCTGAATTTGGAAAGTAAACAATACTAATCTTTTAAAGAAGGTAAGCCAAAATCTTACTTTTTATAAAAATTTTAAAAAACTGATAGAAAAGTAAGAGAAAGTGGTAGAGGAATCATCTGACCAAGTAAAAAGAATGTGGCTTTAAAAAAACATATATTTTGTTGTTTTCTTTGTATTTTTTTTTAAAGTAACAATCTAAAAGCTTTGTCAATAAAGTTGGGCTTTGTCTATACTCTACCAAAACTTTTTATATAAGAGCACTACTTGCCAGTTATCTTGTATAATAACACTCTTGGCTTGCATATCAAAAGTTTTTTAGAAAAGTTCCGAAAAGCTAAAAATATTAACCTTTAGACAAACCACTAAGTAGACCATGACTCTAACAAAAATTTAATTTTACTCTTAGTAGAAATTTTTGGTTTGAGTAATTATCAAAAAGAGTTTAATAAGTTGTAAATTTTTCTATTTTTGATGAATTACAAATTAAATATTGTTATTTGGTTCTTTTAACCTGGCTAGACCATGTTTTATATATTAAAATTTAAAATTTCTAATTTAGCTTTAGTAACCCAGCCAGGTTATAAGAACCAAAATTAATTTTATATAACCTTATATAAAAATTTTATAATAAAATTTTGTATTTAAGTTTTGACAAAATTGTCAAAAAGCCAAAAAAAAAATTTTTAAAAAAATTTTTTATATACTATATTTTAATAATTACTAAATAGGTTTTAAAAAAAAAATTTATATAAATTTTATAAAATTTATATATGAATTTTTTTTAAAAAACTAGCTAGCCAGTTTATTATAAAAACCAAATAATTAAATTTGTATAATCTAAATTATTAAATTTTTTTTATAAATTTTAAAGGAGTTTGCTATTTACTACCACTGGTGATCATCACTAGTGTTGCTATATCTCAAAAACATACTAAGTAAACAGAGTAAAAATGTTCAGGACTCCCAAAAACTTCATAAAAACTAAAATCAAACTCTATTGAGACCTTATATTAGCTCTATAATATATTATATAAAAAAAAAATAACTAACCCTAACCCTAACAAATCTTAAAACTGGTGATGATCACCACTGTTAATAAGTAGTAATTTTGAATTTTAAAATATTTTTTTTTGTTGATTTAATATAATTAAATTAGAGTTATAATAAGGGTTATAGTTTAAATTAAAATTAACCTAGAGTTAAAGTTTTTTATATTATAATTTTATAATATTTTTATATATGGGGGGCCCCACAGCAAAAGGTGGCTATAGGCTAAAAAATTTTTTTTTGTAGTTTTTTGAAATTATGTTCTAAATAATCTAATTTTTGCAAAAATAAAGTTTTTACAAAAAAAAACTTTTTTGCCCATAGCCACCTTTTGCTGTGGGGCCCCCCATATAATATACACTATAATATAATATCAAGGAACCCCAAACATATAATATAAAGGTTATATTTATAAATTTTAACAAAAATCTCTAAAATTTAAAAAGTAAAAAAAAAAAAAATTTTTTGCAATTACAGAATTATCTCGGTATCTAGTGGTCCAATTTGAATAAACTTTTTTTTAATAAAAGCCCTCAGTGAGGCGCATCTAACAAAAAAAAGTTTATACAATTCTGATTACTAAATCCGAAGATATAAGAAAAAGTAAATTTTTGGTTTTTAGCAAATTAGGTTAAAATTGGCCAAAATGCAATTATAACCTATATAGAGATGTCTGGGGGTCCTAATATCAACAAATTACAATATTAAAATAAGAAAAAAAAAAAATTTTTTTTGAACATCTAACCATAGTCAATTAATTAACAATAATAATTTTTGCGTTTATATATATTGCAGATTCTGTTTTATTTTAAACAGTCAAAATAAAAATATGCTCACAAATGTTCGTCTTGTAGTATTAAATCACAACAAAGTAAATGTAAAAATGCTAACCTTTGAACGTTTTTAAATACTACACCTTTAGACATATCAGACTTAATAAGCTTTGACATCTAATCATAAACTGCAAATATTATAATTATCGTAAGTTATCAAATAATGCAATAATCCTTTTTTCTGCCAAGGTTGATAAATACACACCGTGTACAATACCATATAGTAAAGTCCAAAATAACACGTAAGAAAATAGCCCACCAAACACTCCTTCTGTCCAGACATCTGTCCTGCCGCGAAAATATATCCCTGGCTTTGCTTGTGTTTTTAAAGCCCAAATGAGAAAAGACGTGAACAAAGCAGTGATACCGTAGAAGATAAAACCAAAATAACCAGTTAGCCCTAAAATTCCAGCAGCTGAACCAGTAATTGCAGACATAGAAGAGCGAATAAATGTGATCGTTTTAACATTATGAGCAATGTTTTCTGGAACATACAAAGATGCTTGGTTTTGTGGGGATCGAGTGGCCATGAAGTTCTAAAAGATAAAAGTTTACAAGTGATGTGACATGTGGTAATTCAGTTTTAGTGCTCTGATTGGTCAACTTTTGAGTGATACGAGATTTGTTGATCTAATGTTTACCTTCATTTCTCCGAATACACTTTCAACATCTCACGTAATGAATAACAACAATTCCCTTCCTTCTCAACAGTATTACTCTCAAGAAGTGTCAGAGCTGTCAATGGATAACTCCCAGCAACAACACGTTCCCTCACCACAATCTCAACAGCTGGATTCCGCGAATTTTGCTAATCAGTTGATAAAGATCGAACATGAGTCTCAATCTGGTGATAATACCTCTGCAGTAACAAAGGAGACTGATACAAAGAAGAAGAGAGCAGGTCCTAAAAGAAGAAAAGTCACCCACGGTATTGAATTCGTCTTATTCGTTGCCTTTTCCAGAAAACTTCACAATCTCACTAATTGATCCAAGCATTTATAGCATGTGTATATTGTAGGCGATCTCACATGACATGTGACGATGGTAATTTTGTTCTTGGCTATATTGAATTATCGTTTATTTAGAACAGAGTTTAACTGCGATCCTAAACAAGGTCGCCCTTGTCAACGTTGCATAAAAAGAAGCATAGGACATCTTTGTCACGATGAACCAAAAGGTTCTCACGGTCCTCAACAAATTGGTGGCGGAAATAATGCTGTGCCGGCTAATCTTATAACAATGCAATCTGTTCCTCAAGGTATATTCAGTTGATATTGTTCCCAAAACTCCTTGTACATGTTTAATCTTAATCTCTTTTTTAGTTTTGAGAACGACAAATAATTACCCCAACTTTCAAGATTTCTCACAGCTTACGTATACACCGTTACCTACTCCTCTTACCTTTGCCAGCGAACATACGGGTCATGAATTCACCGTGCTTACGTAAGATCTACGGAGAAACTTTACATCATTTATTCAATTGGTTTGTTCCTAACAAGGTAGTGACACGGCTTAAATTACCTACCATATGTTTACTTAATATTCTTTTGTGGAAAGTAATTTTTTGGAGAGTGTGGATGGTAGTCAACAGAGTCATCATAATAACGACGGACTGACGGCAGATACCACCGACAAGTTTTTTTTAACCGCAGCCGATCCATCAGATGGTACATCTGAAGACCGATTGACCCAGGTTATTAACGCAAAGTTTGAAGCTGGATTCTTGAAACCATATAATTACGTCAATGGATACTATCGCTTATCACAATATATGGACAATCAGTAAGAATTTTTAAAGTACTTCTCCAATCGTTTATTGAATGTTTGTAGAATAATTATCTATTCTCTTAAATGTGGCAGTATGTCTAATCTAAGTAGACAACGAATTTTGAGCTCACTGAGTATTTTCCGCCCTTCCTTCCGTAACGTTGCACAAACATTGACGGACGTGGATCTAGTTATGGTTGAAGGAGTATTTGAACGTCTTTTATTGGTTCGAACAAACATAATTAGTTCTATGTGTCATTGAATAACTTAATAATTGTATAATTGCGCTTAGACCCATTATTCATTATTTATATCAGGATTATGATAGGGTATTTAGCTCTATGGGTATTCCGGCATGCCTATGGCGCAGAACGGGAGAAATATATAAGGGCAACAAAGAATTCGCTTCTCTTGTAGGTGTGCCAGTTGAGATGCTAAGAGAAGGACGCCTATGTATATATGAGGTGAGTGTAATATGGGAGTGAGTCAATATAAATGGGACAAATCATTTTCAATAACCTTTTTTTTTAAATTTTAAACTAAAATATCTCAACAACTAACAAACAAATTTAATTAAATTATTTTATTTTATTTTAATTCTATAACTATTTAGAATTAAAATAAAAATTTTTTATTAAATTTTATTGTTGAGGTATTTTGACTTAAAATTTAAAACTTTTACTTAGAAAATTTGTCCTATTTCTATTGACTCCCTCCCAACATGTAGACTACGAGAATTCAATTTCATGTATCGTAGCTAAAACTTGATATGGTATACTTTGTTATCCTATAAAGTTGATGATGGAAGAATCGGCTGTAAATTATTGGGAGGTCAGTTACCTTGAATTTATTATTATATCTATCATATAATAAATGTTTTCCCAAACAAAATTGGAATAATAACATGTATAATTATTGTAATTAGAAATATGGAAATATAGCTTTCGATGCAGGCCAAAAGGCTGTATTAACATCATGTTTGTTGAAGGGACCAGATCAAGACCCTCAAAATGTTACATCATGTTGCTTTTCGTTCACAATTCGCCGTGATAAGTATAATATGTATGTACTCCAATATAAGTTACATAAATTTACATAAATTTTACTCAATTGTAATATGTTCTTAATATTTTCGTTCTTTATATTTCGTCGTTATATTTTTTTTTTGATCTATATAGACCGGTATGTCATAGTTGTATTTTGGGTTTGGCTTTTTTTTTTATTTTTTTTTTACTATACATTATTGATATATTAAACAGTCTGCCATTATCGGAAATTTTCTTCCGATTCGACTCGCGGCGTAAATAATGTTAAAAATCAATTTATTTTTTTCCATTATATCTTCTTTTATACGTATAAGTTCTTAGATTTAATCCTCTTTTGTGTTATGTAAACATACCGTATACCTGCGATTAGTTCTAAAAATTTGATACATATATATATAATAATAGAAGAATATTCAATTTGATTGTTTAAATTTAGCAACAAATGTGATCTTATATGTAATTTATAATGGCAATTAACGAAAGAACTTATTTTATTAGTCTAGAGTTTATTGGAATATGTAATGTTACAGTATCAATTTATTATATCAAATTATAACTTTATCAATAATTTAAACTAAATTCGATTACAAAATGTATATGATATATATATTGTCTATGATTTTTCACTCCATCTATATAGAGTTACATAAGTAGTGTAAACCAGTGAAAAGAGTCCAAATAAAAATACAACCACGTCGAGTAATTTTGCACTTATAGTGTGTGCAGCTGCTTTGAAATGGAAAAGGGGCGGATAAAGGAAACATAAAGGTACACTATAGAATAGATAAAAGTAGATAAATATAGTATTGCTTATCATATTATAATTTTTAAAAACATATAATTACCATGCAAATGATCCAATTAATGAAACAAATTTGTCTAAATCGGATGCGCCTCCCCATGCAATTATTCCACAAACCACTACGGTTAAAAATCGAAACAAATTCTTTTGCCATTTAACCAAAACGTTATCTTTGCCGCTTCTTTCAAATATACCTTGTTCCATAATCCTTATGGCCGGAAATAATTGTAAAGGTACAGAAAGGAGAATAGCCAAAGCATAAAGCAATTGAACAATTCGAACAATGGGATCATTGGAAGGTAAATTTAGAATAACTACAGTCTTCACCTCACTACCGAAAGCGGCATAAGATAGAACACCAATTGAAGTAAAAATGAAAGTAACGAAGATCATAACACCAATTAAAACTTTGGGAAATTTTTCGGGTTCTTTCATAGATTCGGTTATTGGAATGATCTTTGAAATAATTGTAAAAATAAGGATTCATTATAGGGAAAAAGGGCATATTAATAATATGGTTAACACTCACTAGACCAATCCCCTCAAAAGTGAAAACAGCTGTGCCAATAAACAAAGCGAAATCCCTTGGATTAAATGTTATGATGTCACCGACGCCTTTTGTCGATAATCGATAAATATCATAATAATATAAGTACAATAGTCCAAACATAATAAATGCATCTGCAATCAATGCCGTAAACGACAATCTGGATATACGACGAATCATGGCGAGCGGTGCGAAAATAAACAATTGTCCCACAATAAACCAAGATATATCTCTATTTTTAATGTTCATAAAATATCCAGTAACCTCAGAGAGATTTTCGGCAACAAAGATCATGTAGGCGCAAACGAATCCGATCTGTGTGAAAGATAATGAAACATATATGTTAAAAGTTTCAAAGGTTGAAGAAAAACAGGATTTTGTACCTGAGAAATTGTTATTGAAAATAGAACAGCAAATCTCATCCATCGACCATACAATACACCACCAATATCTAGTAATTATATTAGTTAGCGATAAAGGTTTATAATTTACATTATTAAGCATTCGACACGTACCACCAAAACTATATGGGACATAAAACCGTGTTTGAACAAGTAATAAAAATGCGAATAATGATATTCCAGCGATTCCCATCAAGACTAACGTTGAGAAAAGCATGCCACCATTAAGGAACCTAATGAATGTGATAAATGGTATGAATTAAATCAAGAAAAAACAAACCACACATTGAAATATTAAGCATAAAGCATACGCCTTCGGTAAAAACATAACACCAGTGCCAACAAACGATTTTAAAAGTAAAAATACGGCTTTTGAAGGCGACGCAGTGGCGTGAGTGGAAGAAATTCCTCGTTCTCTTGGAATTAACGGAGACAATTCTGAAGGATCTTCTTCATCATCTTTATCCTCTTCATCATCCGACAGATCTTCACCGGCAAAATGACCGTACATTGCAAGAAAATCGATAAAGTTCCGGGTTATAATGTTAGGTAGCTCTTTGCCTTCCTGCCTTGCTTTCATCATGAGATGATGACGACGAAATCCGCCTGGTTCCCTGATATTAGATATATCTGGATCAGTTGGTCGTGGTATATATAAAGAACGAGAACGAGTACGTCTCATAGGCTCAATTTCTATACTGTTATGCCATTTATAAACCTCGTGTGTTGCATCTAATCCACGTAACTTGTGATGAGATGTTGAATAGAGAGCAAGTGGATCCGTAGAAGTACCACCATTCTCAGCGCTACGAGCGAAATCTTCTTCGGTAACGAGGTGCTTTCTGATTATTTCTACCTTTCTTTCGTCAGGGATGTCAATGGGAATAGCCTCTAAATTAGGTTCCAAAGATCCAAAGGACCTTCCGAAACCACCAGAGGCGTTCAAATGAAGCTTAGTATTAGGTGAAGAACCAAGCTTATTTTGAATGCTAGGTTGAGATTTCGATAATTGAATATTTTGTCCCTGTGGAGGAGAAGCAAGTCGGTTTATATTGCTAATTCTACTATGTGTATCAGGAACGTTATTACTTGGCGCTTTGTTGATCTCGACAGGCTCAGCTGTTGCGGAAGAAATCATGCTTTACTTTTCCCGAGAAAGTTAACGAAATACACTATATCTAAAAAAAACAAAATGAAATAAAATAGGATTGTTTAAGCCTCATTAACACTTGGGGTTTGATTATCTGCTATATAATATATATGTTCATTCACTTTAGCAGGCGTCTATTCAGTTCCTAATTTTAAATTTTTGATACACAACATCATACGCGATATTAAGATTTTTATTGGCCTAACCAGTTAACCGCATTATACATGAAATTTATCTGTTATACTGTTATATAAATTATATAAATAATTTCTAAATAAATCCGTAATTTGCCGAATTCGCCGAATTATGGCCCAATTATGGTGACAAACCCTGGATCTGTTTGGTAGTTATTACACAAATCACTCAACTGGTTAAGTTCTCTAAATTCAAGCCAAGTAATATGAATTAGATGTATTTTTTTATTCTCTATATGCTGATTTTTTTTGTCATTTTACGTAGGGGCTCTATCATGCTGGAGTTGACTGTAACGAGAAAATCGGGGTTTTTTTTCTTAACGCTAACCTTAAAGAATTGGTTTTACCGGTCTGGTGTCTACTGTGTATATTTGATATCGTTATACTATATAAGTCACATTCATGTAACTAGACTCATTTTAGTAGGCCTTCTGACCATACTTACCAGACTACATTATCATTTTAATCGATCGCTATCGCTATTTGGCTATCACATGGCATATATTTTAATAGTCAGTACATTTCCGTACTATACCGATACAGTTACGATTAGAACCAAGGTCTGGATATAATTCAGGATCATCTATTTGTACGCCATTTACTAGAAAACCAACAAGCTTAATTCTTGTTATTTTTACTGTCACTTAAATTTAGGGTTTGATACTCTGAAAGGTTTTTTGCCTTTATAAGTTATTTAATCTTAATTGGGTAAATTTATTCGTTATCTCGTTTCTGAATTACTCTCCGCTCCCAATCTTTCATTAACGCCATAATTAACAATATGCAGACTTTTATTTAATGGTAAAGATACATAACCAATTTCTTTCAAAATTGTGGCGGCTTATGCTGAAATTTGGTGATACGTACCATTTAAATTTATAAATATACATACCCTTTTATTAATAACAACACTAGCCCTAATGCTAAATTAATCTAACCCTAAAGGATCTATCGAAATGTGTTAAAAGTCTTTGCACCAACCAATTTCACATCAGATGTCACAAAATTATCAAGATCTAATCAATCTGGAGTTACAAGAAGTAAAGCCCAAACCGATTTATTTCAAATAACAATATATATCCTGAGTTTTGTTGCACAATATTCAACTGGGTTTGAAGCAAAAGCATGCCGCTTTATGGATTTTTTCGCGAGTAACAAAAAGAAAATCGAATTTTGTAAATAAACTAAGTTCGTAAAGATAGAAGTTTAGGGTTGGACGTTAGGAGTTAGAGGTTATAGCAATAGATTATATGTAAATTTTTCATATGTTAACACCGGGTTTAATCGGTTTTAACATATGAAAAATAAAACCGGTTTCAAACACTACTTTTGAGATGAGTGTCCGTATATTTTTTTGGGGGGTTTAAGGTGTAGATCATTTTATATAATAAATAAAAATATAATAAATAATTTGCTATGCTGTACACTTATTTATAGTAGTAAAATTTTAAATAAAAAGTGTAAAATTTTATTTTGTATTATAATAATAGTTTTTTTTGTTGATTGGCTAAGTTTAGATCTGTAGTTATAATTATACTAGTATATATATACAGTAGAAAGCTTAGAATATTTCAAAATATAAAAAATTACAAGCTAGTATTAATAATTAATATAAATTTAAAATAAAAACTACTAGAAATAAAAATTTATAAAATTAAAAAAGCCAAAGCTTACTTAAAGTTCTAAATAAATACTATAAATATAAATAATATTGTTACTTTTGATATATAGAGGGGTGTCAGTAAAAACCAGGCAAATTGTTTTTAAGTAAATTTTTTTTTGACTTTAAGTTAAAATATCTCAACAACTATTAAACCTAACTTGATAAAAATTTTTTTATTTTAATACTATTTAGTTATAGAATTAAAATAAAAAAAAAATTATTAAGTTTGGTTTAATAGTTGTTAAGATATTTTAATTTAAAGTTTTAAAAAAACTTACTAAAAACAATTTGCCTGGTTTCTACTAACACCCTCCTATATTATTATTTTTTATTTGATTTTAGCAATCTTGCTTTTATTATATATAAAGGAAACCAATTGTCAAAAATTATATTTAATTCACTTTTATAATTTTAATATTACAATAAAAATTTATTCAGTTACTTTAAAGTACTTAAATACTATATAAACTATTACAACAATAATACTTTTTCTCTTTGAGGTTTTTAATATATAGAACTGAACTAAAAATTTACCAAAAAGCTTATTGCTAGCTCTGTTAAAATTGCCTTTCTCTTAATTTTTTTTTTTTTACAAAAGATATTTAAAAAAAAAAATATAGTATGTATAATCAGTAATAATCATCACCACTTCTAGATAGAGTTAGAGTTAGAGAAATATTATTTATCATTTGATTTTTTGTAAATAATAAAATTTTCTTCTTTCTCAATGATTACAATTATGTATTAAAATATATATATAATCTATTAGCTTAATATTTTGGTAACTACTCTTTGCTAAAAAAATTAGATGATAAATAACACTTCTTTTAAGATATTATAGGCTGATGTAAAAAGATAGATATCTCAAATAAGTATTAATAAAAAATTTTTTTAATTCAAAATTATTTTTTGAAAGATAGAAAAGAGTTTAATATAGTTTATTTAATTCTTTTATATAAAAACTAAAAAATCAATTAGTAAAAACTTTTTAAGTAAATTTTAGCTTATTTAAAAATAAAAAATTTTATAGTAAGCAATTAATAAAAAATTTTTTATTTTTAAATTTAATCTGTTTTTTTAAGAAAAAGTTTTTTTTTGATTTTTTTTTATCAAAAAAGTTAGTTCTCATTTATTTTTATATAAAAGAGATATAAAATAATATAATTAATAAAAAAAGATAGTTTAAACTATAATTATTTAACTTGTAAAAAATTATTAATTATATTAATAATAATTTAAAAACTTTTATTAGTAGTACTTTTTAATTATAGTTTTGAGGTATCTATCTTTTCACACTGGCCAATAATAATTATTATTTTTTATTAGCCGGAGCGTAGCAATGGACACTCAATTTTTACATATTAAGTGATACAAAAATTACGTTTTTGATATATTTCACCCCAAAAAGTTGCTTTTTTGATACATCTGCATAAGCATTATGAAGAACATAATTTGGAAATTTTTTGTCTGTTCGCACGCGTGTTCAAATTTGTTAAATTAGTGTAACAAAACATGCATATTCACGCATTTGTGTAATAAGATGATCATTATATGATATGCTCTGGATCTAATAATACTACGTATTTTCCTAGTATAATATAATATAGAGCTAATATAAGGTTCTAATTTTAGTTTTTTAAGATTCTGGATATTTTTATTTAGAATACCTAATTCTGTTTACTTAGTACATTTTTGAGATATAAGCATTCTAGTAATAATCACTATTGGTTATAGTTAATAAAATTTTTTTAAAAAAGTAGTAAGTATATTAGCAAATTTAATAGAGTGTAATATTGCGCAATAATTTACGAAGCGTAAAAAACCATAATATTATATAATAATTTTCGCAATATTGTGAAATATATAATTATGAAATATTACATAAGATTATTACGCAATATTATGCAAGAAATTACACAACTTTATATAAAATAATTCAAAATAATTTGAAACAGATTGAGATAAATTAATGTGAACTATAAGCGCAAAATAATTCAAACTAATTCGAATTATATTAAAAATAATTGAAATAATTAAAAATAATTAAAATTAAAGAGCAAAAATTTTTAAACGTCAATATTCAAAAATAAGATAAATTACTATGAACTATAAGAGCAAAAATAATTCAAACTAATTCGAATTATATTAAAAATGCTTGATATAATTAAAAATAATTGAAATTTCAAAGCTAAAATTTTTAAATATCAATATTCAAGAATGAAACAGATTGAGATAAATTACTATAAACTATGAGAGCAAAAAATAATTTGAAATAATTCGAATTTTATTGAAAATGCTTGATATAATTAAAAATAAAATTAATTTATTTGTAGCTAGGGGCTACATGTTGCTATACTATTTTATATAGAAAAATTGTACAGCCTATTAACGTTTAGAGTTAGATTAGGTTAGGGTTAGGTTAGAGTTAGAGTTAGAGTTAAAGTTTTTTTAAGATAAAATTGCGAGAGGAGCATTTTTGCTTAGTTATACAACAGAGTTACTCTAGTAAAATTTTGAGTTATTGCAGAATTATTGAAAATAGCTACAGAAAGCCACGGCTATATATAAATTTTTCCAATAAAATAAAATAAAATTAATTTAATTTAAAATAAAATAAAATACAAAATATAATATTCAACTCTTCCCGATGATTATTTTTATCACAAAAAAATCTAAAATTCTTAAAAAACTAGCATCTGTAAAGGTTGAAACAGACAGAGAAGAAGTTCTTAAGCTTTATAACTCGGCAGTTGTTATTTAGAGGTAGTTCTCATACACTATCTGCTAACTTCCTCAGAGTTTATCACTCACCACGGGGGCCGGGCACTTGTCATTTAGAAATAGTTCTCATACGCTATTTGCCAACAAGCCCAGAGTTTATCACTTATCTGAAAAAATAAGAAGAATACCTGCACCTTTCTATAGATTCAGTGTGTTGAGTAAAGAAAATACACACTCTTTTACTAAACAAAACAAAGTAGTTTTGTCTTTTTTTCTCTGCCTCCTTGCTGCTTTTCTAAAATTTTCCTACAAAAGTAGGCAAAATAGTTTACCCCTTCCAAAAGATCGCATTTTTTACTGCTTCCAAATCTGGACAGTTCCAGCAGACTGTGATCATGTGTCTAGTTTGT